AAGCTGTTGGAGAAGGGGTTCATACGCCCTAGTGTATCACCATGGGGAGCACCAGTGCTATTCGTCAAGAAGAAGGATGGCATTATGAGACTGTGCATTGACTATAGGAAGTTGAACAAAGCTACCATCAAGAACCGCTATCCTTTGCCAAGAATGTGTGTTATGTTTCGATCAAGAATGTGTGTTATGTAGTCAAGAATGAGACTGTGCATTGACTATTATGGGGCTACCACTCTCTTATTGTTGATATAGTAGTCAAGAATGTGTGTTATGTTTCGATCAATATGTTTCCTTCTAATGTTTTCCTAAGTTGCAACCTGCACTCTTCAGGGTTGGTGTTTCTATTGAGCTACTCCAATATGCTGAAATTCAGGTCGTCCTCGTTGGTTATGGCTATCACGAAACTTGTGTGTGTGATAGGCTTATGCATTGAGAGAAGGATCGGATAAAAGAAGGCCAGAATGATTCAGCCCATGCAAGAATGAACAAGTCATTACGTGGCTAAGATGAAACCCATGCACAACTCGGGAACTGCTTCTTGCTTATGAAGTAATTCAGTTAGGCTTTGTTTCTTTTATTCATTGATTGTAGCCGGTAGGATTAGCCCGTTAGGGTTTGTTTGTCTTTCAAATTAGGAGAACTTCTCTCCATGGTAGTTGGTATTATAATTGATTTGGGTTTATCCATTATGTAAAACCCACTTCCGGTTTTGGATTTGAGTCCTCTATTTGAAGAGGCTAAGAAGCAATCAAGAGGAGCATATCATTTTTCATAAAATTGCATGCGTGAAGAGCCTTTGTGTTTATGTGCTAATTCCTCCAATTTGACCATTATCGTGACAATGATTTTGAAAATGTTGTTACTTAAACGTAGGTGGATAGTTAGAGTGTTATGCTAACATGAACTTTATAGCTCAAGGGCCACAGGTAAGTTGTATTAAAATTGAACGACTAATATAGTATCGATTCTATATTGATTTTTTTCTATTAAGTTAGTGTCAATGGTACCCATAACTGGTGGTTTCCAGAAGTGGTTCTGACCAATTGCTCTTCCTTCCCTATGCTGCAACTTTTCCTGCTCACACCCATATTCGCGAAACAAACCATCAGCTCTTGTGGAAATCTCTCCTTCCTCCAGTTTTGGGCCATTAAGAGCCTGGTTATTCCTCTCCTGTCAGAGAAGCCACATCAAGGAGAAGATCCCTTCTGCCGTGTCCTTGTCCTCTGTTGTGATCACTCTATTAAGCCATACTTGCAACCCTTCTCCATTCGCACGTGCGAATTGCTCCGGTCAGGCCGACCTTCTCCAAATCCGACATGTCCATTCACATTCCAAGAAGTGGTGGAGCTGGTCTTCAGGTAGACCACAATATGGACAATCCGGACTAATTCTCTCTTCCATCTTTTTTATGATGTTCTCATTAGTAGGTAGGATGTCGTGCATTAATTTCTAGAGGAAATATCGTATCTTGGGAGTGACCGGAGTCTTCCATAGGGATTCCCAGTTGCAGGCTACAATAGTAGGGCCCGAGTCTTCTTCCTGATCTTCTGGAGGATCCTCAATAGCCATTCTATAACCTGAACTCACCTTATAATTTCCATTTGTTGTACGATTCCAACATTTGTTATCAATTGTACCATTTCGAGGGATAGGGGGTGGCTCTGATGGCTCCACATTCAGTAGGTGAGAATAGCAATTCCAGAACATCTCCTCGCCATGACCCATCTTCATGATTGATCAGCTCTGTAACCCGGTCAAAACCCATTCTGCCATGCCTTCCTTCTGCTGGTTTATTGTTTTTTAGCCCCGGTACCCATTTATCATCCCAAATGCGTATATTAGTCTCGTTCCCCATCCGCCACCTGCTCGGCTGCTCCCCTACGATTATATCCCTGACCGAGAGAAGACTTCACCAAGTATAGCTTGGTCTATAACCCAGAGTAGCATCAAGTAAAGACGAGTTAGGGAAGTACCTCGCTTTCAGGATTCGGCCAATAAGGGAATCTGGATTCTGAAGAAGCTGCCAAACTTGTTTTGCAAGGAGTGCTTTGTTGAAAGCCTCCAGTTCCTGGAGTCCCATACCCCCTATATCACGAGCCTTGCACATGAACCTCCAATTTTTCCAATGTGTTCTGTTCTTCCCCCCATTCTCTCCCCACCAGTAGTTCGATATCAAGCTATTGATTTCTCTGATCAAGCTTCCCGGGAGCTTAAACACTAACATTGCGAAGTTCCCTTGTGCCAAAGCCACTGCTTTAATCAACACATCTTTCCCTGAAGTTGAGATCACCCCTAATGTTAGCGGTGATGCTGTAAGGTAATTAAGTGTGTGTTGTTATGTTATCGTTCGAGTTCCTAGGAAAACATAATTGGACTTTGGTGTAGGAGAAAATGATGAAATTGTTTTTCCTCCAAAGTCCCACATAATTCTATCATGATATAGAAAGACTACTCGCCTATTCCTTCTGATATAAACTCATATTTCATATGCAAAACAAAGTGAGAGCTTTCATCAAGTAGATGATGATGTTGATAGACGAAAGAAAAGACCATCCTAACATGGACTAAGTACAGGTTACTCCAGATTGTTAACTAAATGAGCTGTGAACTGTTATTTGTCAGTAGAATTTCAATGTGGCTATGTGATGATGGGAACTGGGTTGAAGAGTTTTTTTCAATAAGGGGCCATTTGGAAGTTGAGATTCTTCAAATATGTGTATTTGATGAATACATCTATTGTAAATACAAAGATTGTAAGAATTAGATGATTGAAAGAATGTCTTGTTTGTTTGTAGCAATTTAAAATTTTGAAAAAAAAAAGAAAAAATCACTTTATGAGCTAAAAGTGGAACAAACTAAAGCCCACAATCTCAAAGCAAGAATCTCACCTTTTTGTTGAGATTTAAAATGAGTGATTGTTGGTGATATGATATTTGAAGGCCCACCACAAATGCATGTATTGAATATATTTTTGAGACAAAAAACAATGGATTCTCCAAAATACATGAATTCAAAGAATCATTCATCTAGAATCATAACTTCCAAACGAACCTTAAATGAAATGTAACCTGCAAAGCTACAATTGAACTCCAGTCGAAGTCCATATTTCTATAAACCAATAATAACATTCCTATTGCGAAGCACGAGCCAATTGTCTAATTGCATACAAAATACTTTCGATTCATTAAATTTTGATTAGTTATAAGATTTTTTTTTCCCCTTCATTGTTCGTATGAGGAAATATTGAAATCTATATGAAAAAGATTAATTATGTTTTCTTGCGAATTAAAGAATGCTAACTTTCTTTAGATCGACGGGTGCAAAACATCACCATAATTAGGATACCCGGATGACTACAGACCAATTGCAGTGGCAAAGTGCCCAATAGATGCAGGATTACTTAGATGACTACAGATCAATTGGGGTGGCAAAATGCCTAATTGAGGCAGTAGCCCTGGTTGGAAATTTATCATCCCAATTAATTTTTCATTCACTTTTCTCATATGACTAAAAAACCTTCATCAAGTTACTTGATCTACACACGTTGGATCCGAGGAACATGTATATGAGTTGGGAGGAATGTCTGCGGCCCGCAGGTGCACGAAACCAACTAACACCACATAATGGGATAAGTGAGAGTGAGATTGTGGAGACCACTACTATTGGGGTTTCAACGAGATGGGGGAAGCAGCTCATGTTCGCGTGTATGAGTAAAACCCGCAAAACATTTGATGGGTGTGGGATGAGTATGGTTTTAGCCTCCCCGTCCCATACTCATACCCGCCCCATCAGGAGCATTTCTTCGCAAATAAAAATTACATTGATTAAATTGTAACTTATCAATAATAGTGAGGGTAACTCAAGAAAATAAAAAGTATAAATGCAATTGGGTGGCCACCCAAATCAAAACCTAATTTCTTTTCCTCAACTCTCCCTTCACTCTTTCACTTTTTCCATCGTGTTAACAAGATTATGTTAGTTAGTTATTACTTAGTAGATGTATTAGAGTAAGAGAATAATAATTTGGATTACATTGTATTCTATCTTATGGATTAGTGGATGTTTTAGGATAAGATGTTTTGAACCGTATAAAGAATGTTTTTCTCTTTGTCGACTTCATTATATAGTAGGTGCGTTTAGGGTTTTAATTAAAAATTCACATATTAAATATTAGGTGTTATAATGTTGGATGTAGTGGGGCGAGTATTACCCATGGGTACCAAAAACCCATAAGTATGAGGATGGGTTTGCAACACCTTCCCAACATGGATATGGGTCAGGTATGGTTTGGATATTTGAAAGTGAGTATGTGAGTGGTTTAGGCAAACCCGCCCCAAACCCGCCACATTGCCATCCCCAATCACTAATTATATAATCAATCATTCAATCTCGTACTTTGATCATTATAATCTAAGAATTAAAAAGGATTAATACCTTATTATGGCCCGAACTATACCCAAATAATCAATTTTGGCTAGTGGTTTCAGAAATTAATATCCCGACCTCAACTTTACATCATATAGACTCAATTGGCCGGATGCATGGTTTGACCGTGAATTTGGACGGTCAACACCGTTGACTAACGGTCAATGGTCCAGCTCACTGCCATGTCAGCACCAAAATTACGTGAGTGGGGAATAAGCTGGACCGTTGATCGTTAGTCAGCGGTGTTGACCAGCTAAATTGACGGTCAAACCGTCTGACCATTTAAGTTTATATGGTGTATAATTGAGGTCGGAATATGAATTTTCAAACCACAAACCAAAATTAACTATTAGTGTATAATTCGGGTCATAGTAAATATTAACCCAATTAAAAATCATTTGACATTTCTCCATTTGTTTCCCTTTTATTTCGGGTCACATATTGGGCTTTAGTGATTACTTATCTGCTATTGGGCCTCGAGGAAGCTTCCTGGCCAGCTGGCGTGCTCTGAAGCCGTCAGATTTCCAGGTCTATTTATATGGGCGCAAACAGTCGAACACAGTCTTTTCATTCATGTTCTTTCCCATTTCCCACAACATCTGCGCAAAGTCAAAAGTTAGAAAGGCGGCAAGTTCCTGCGACGCGCGAGCACGCTAACGGCTCTCTCTCGTTTTCTCGATCATCTCTCCGTCGCCGATCGACTTCTCCGTTCAAAAGGCATTCGCATTGTTCGCTTGGAGTTTCGGATTCAACACTTCGTAAGTGCTTTCTCGATTCCCCCCTCAATTACTCCTCCAAGTTGTAGTTCCGACGCGTTTTCCGATTTGAGTTTCGTCGCTCTCATTCTTTTTACTCTGTTGTTCGGGAAATTAGGGTTTCCGAAAACCCTAGCTTCGTCAGTTCACGCTCTCTCCAACGTTACTTGTGTTTTCCCCTTTCTGGAATCCATCGAATATGGCGGCGGAAACAGCTTCCGCCGCCGCCCCCTTGTTGTCTCTGCCAGTGGGCTATCACTTTAGCCCTAGCGACGAAGAGCTCGTGGAGTATTACCTGAAGAGGAAAGCTAGAGGAGAGAGTTTCCCGTACAATGTGATTCCCGATTGCGATCTCTACGGCGACAAGGCTCCGTGGGAGATGTTTCCCCGGGATGCCGGAACAGGGAGAGATAGGTTTTTCGTCTTCACCAAGCTGAAGAGGCTGAGTAAGAGAAGGGTTTCGCGGACAGCCTCTATTGGAGAATGGCATGGTAACACTTCTGGTGAAATTTTTGATGGGAAGAAGAACAATGTGATTGGCACTAGGAGACAGTTCGTTTTCAAGGTGAAGAAAGGGAAACAAGGGAGTGCCTCGGGAGCTCCAGTGGGGCATTGGATAATGCATGAGTATTCACTTGCTGGGATTGATTCTGATGTTGTGTTGTGTGAAATAGAAAATAAGGAGAAGAAGAGGTTGAGAAGTGATTATGAAAGGGTGTTTTGTGAGACTGTAAACAAGGGAAGTAAAAGGCTGAGGATGGATGAAGATGGTGCTTTCTTGACTGCCACGGATGATGGTGTATCGTCATTGGCAGATATGGAGTCCGAGTTAAATAAATATTTGTTCAGCGACCCTGAAGATGCTGCTGTGTCATCGTCGTCATCATTTTTGGAAATGGTTACAGAGTTGGCTAGTAACTTTCCTTTCTCGTCCGCTGTTGGACACTCTACCGAACAGATATCAATTCAACAGGAGGTGCAGGCAACAGTGAATGGTGGATTGAGTTGTGGAGATTCTTGTGATATTCTTGCTGTATCAACAAATGATGCTGAGGAGGAGACCGTGTCGTCCCTTCAAAGTTCAATCGACAATCCCATGACTTCCTCGTCATCATCATTGATTCCAGTAGTTTTAGCTTCTGATTTGGATCTGTCTCAAGATGATTGTTGGGGAGATGATGAACTTGGATTCCTTACACGCTATGGAGCATCAGAGTTTACTGATCTTCCAATCTTTGACTTGGATGATAACTTGTGCAACCAACTTGATTTTGACACTAGTGCTGGACTTGCCATGACTGGTTTGTGGTAGGTGTGAGGTTCTTTTTGCTTTCCATTTTACTTTTGCTAATCTTTTGGTGATAATTGCCTGACTGCTTGTCAAGCTGTTATCACTTAATGATTTATATTATTATGTTTGTGTATATTCTGTGAGAACGGTCTTTTGTTGAGGCAGAGGCTGGGAGCGGTAGCGCTTGGGGCTCTTTCCTAAGTTCAGGGCCAAAGGTTTGCAGGGAACTTAAACCATTTTGAGTTTTTGATTGACCCGTTTCTTCTCTGGAATTTCAGGAGTCACATTTGGTGTTTGTTCATCTTGCTATTGCAATTCCTCGAGCCATGGGCAAGGCAGCCTCGATTGGTAAAAGCTGATTGCTAGGCCCCATACTCTGAGGCGGTAAGAAAGGGACGGTACTTTCTCTGGAGGAACTCATTGGATTAGATCTTTCCATCTTTATTGGTGGGTTATCTATCACAAAACAAACTGATGGTTTTATCGAGTATGCAGCTTATGAAGGGTAGCATGATGGACAACAACCACCACATTGCCTTGCTAAGCTTGGCAGAAAGGATAACCAAAACAACGGATTTGAATGATTCATAATCGGTTTGGAGTGTTCTTGATTGAGGCCCTGCTGCTTCATATTATAACTCTGTCCATTGTCATCAAATTCATCTGTTGCAATTATATGCAATTTGGCTATTTGCTCGATAGCCATTTGCACTCTGTTAATGCTTTCTCTCCTTTAATTATGAATGGACCGTTCTAATGTCTATTTTAACCTAATATTGCAGGCAATAATATATTGCTGGTCTGTGTCCTGGAGAGTGCTATCATAGGAGTTGCAGTTCTTCTTCGTCTAGCAGCAAATTAGGAAGCCTGGTCTAGTTAGTGAGTTATGGCGAGAAAGGAGTCGGAGTCTTAAGGCTAATCAGGAGCTGTCTCTCAGTCGGAGTTCAAGCTACAATGAGTGGTGGAGGCCTCTCTAGAGAGTTTTCTAGTGGAAGCAGCAGCAGCAGCAGCAGCTATGGTTTTGATCAGTCTGATACCTGTAGCTGTGTGGTAGTGATAGAATTTTTGTATACTGGTAAACACAGTGGACGAGTCACTGTCATTGTAGCTGCAACTCGCTGCTCTTTGTTCTCAGCATCCTGCTGGGTTTTTTCGTACTAGTTTGGGATGCTTCTTTTGATGCAACCATGTGATCCAGTCACCTATTTGGTGGCTTTTCTGAATATATAATAATATATAAGTAGATTTTAGTGTTAAGGTAACTCAAACTTGCTTCTCTTTGTCTTATGAAATGTTACTTGAGGGAATTGAGCGATGATTTGATTCATTGAATTGTTTGCAAAAGAGCAGAACGAACCGTCAGAAAGCAAAGCTGAAGAATGTGTCTTTAATTGTAAAATTGAGTTTTACAGAGTAAAAATGTTGGTAGAACACAGAAGAACAGATTTCCAGTCTACAAATATTGTACTTCCTTCTTTCCCCAAAGATTCCATCCTTTTGATAAAGGAAAGGATCCGAAGAAGAAATTACATAGTATTGGATATGCTCGCTGCACTTAGTTTCAAGGGAGTAAACTCAAACTTAAAAAAATGCATGTCTAGTGATATATCCCAGAATCTAGGATGCGAGTAATGCGGTGGAATTGGGAATCGGGTTAGATGAGATGAACAACAGCAATGGTGACAGATTATGAGGCCATTCTCATTGCAATCGAGGCATTCACTCCACAACCCATCTGGAGTAGTGATTCGATGGCTGCCGCTGTGATAGAGAAGAGTAGGGTTGGGAATTGAGAAGAACTGGAGGAAAAGAGTTAGGGATTTGAGAGAATTGGGGAAGAACAGAGAATAGAGAAAATTAGAGATTATTATAATATTCTTGTTTAATCCCAAATGAACATACTCCCTCCTCTTTTATGAGTTTCAGCACTAATAGAGAAAATAACAAAAATGCCACTCCTAACCGGCCAACATGGCCAACCCGACCCACTCTACCCGCCGAGCGGGTTTCTATCATCCCCTTCCCCATCAGAAATGACCTTGTCTTCAAGGTCAAATGTCAGAAATCTCTGTCGTATCACGACCGTCTCCTCCCAAGTCGCATCTTCTCACGCCATATGCTGCCACAGAACCAAACTCTCCTCCGTCAGGCGTCCACCTTTCTTCACCCATCTGGTATCCAAGACCTGCAAGGGAATGAGCTCGAGATCCCCATCGGCCGACACCGGAGGGGCGGTGGTCTCCACCCGATCTGCTGCACCCCTGTATCGCTTCAGTAATGATACGTGGAAAGTGGGGTGGATACGAGCATCAGCTGGCAGTTGCAGACGATACGCTACCGGGCTAATCTTCTGCAGTACTTCATAGGGTCCAAAGTACCGGGCGGCCAGCTTCTGGTAAGCACGGCGAAAGACGGAAGCCTACCTGTACAGGTGCAGCCGGAGCAGAACCTAGTCTCCCACCTCAAATTCCTCCTCGCGCCGCCCTACATCAGCTAACTGCTTCATCTTATTGTTGGCGGCTGCCATGTTGGCCTTGAGCTGCTCCAAGGCCTCGTCTCGCGTCTCCAACCATCGATCCACTACATCCACCTAGCTGGTACCACTCTGGTAGCGGACTAGAGAGGGTGGTGGCCGCCCATAAAGGGCCTCAAATGGTGTAGTCTGGATCGCCCTATGGTAGGTGGAGTTATACCATAGCTCGGCCCAAGGTAGGAGAGCCAACCACCGCCTCGGCTGCTGATGGGCAAAGCAGCGCAGGTACTGCTCCAGGTAACGGTTAACCACCTCAGTCTGGCCATCTGTCTGTGGATGATAGGCGAAACTCATCCGCAGGGTAGTCTGTGCCATAGTAAACACCACCTGCCAGAACCGGCTCAAGAAAATGGAGTCCCGGTCATTGAACAATAGACCTCGGGAACTCGTGATGTCGAACGACCCCCAACACAAACTGCTCTGCCACTGCTCGTGCCGTGTATGGGTGCGCCAGGGCCATGAAATGGGCATACTTCGTCAGTCGATCAACGACGACGAACAGGACCGTCTTTACTCGGGAGGGTGGAAGGCCGAGGATGAAGTCCATGCTGATATCCTCCCACACCCGCTCAGGTACTGGCAAGGGCTGCAAGAGACCCGCGTGTCTCAGATGAGAGGCCTTGACCCACTGACAAACATCGCACGACGCTACATAGTCCTTCACGTCCTGGCTCATCTGGGGCCAATAGAACTGGGCCCGGATCCTCCTCAGCGTCCGCTCGACACCTGAGTGCCCACCGAATGGGGAGTCATGATACTCCTGCAGCACGGTCGTCACTAGTGAAGATCCCCGCGGAAGAACATTGTGTCGACGGAAGAATACGAGCCCCTGTCTGAAAGAATAATGGCTCGGAGCCTCACTGACTGCTATATCCCGACAACCCTACAGGTAGGTGTCGGTATCGGTGAGGGCCTGTAATGCGTCCCAGAACTGGGGAACCGGGCCCGTCACTGCCGCCAGTACCTCGCCCCCCGAGCGCCGCGAAAGCCCATCGGCCACGACGTTGGAGGGCCCTGGGCGATAATGAATCTCGTAATCATACCCAAGGAGCTTCGAAACCCACTTGTGCTGGTCGGGAGTGGAAACTCGCTTCTCCAAGAGGTTCCGCAGACTCTGGTGATCGGTGTAAATGTGGAACTTCTGTCCCAGAAGGTACGGTCTCCACATCTGCACTGCTGTGATAATAGCCTGCATCTCCTTCTGGTAAGTAGACCAAGCCTCCTTGGATGGGGCCAAGGTCTTACTCATATAGGCCACCGGGTGACGATCCTGAGATAGCACCGCCCCAATACCCTGGCCCGAGGCATTGGCCTCAATCACAAAGGTCCGGGAAAAATTCGGCATGACTAGAGTCGGGGTGGTCGTCATGGCCTGCTTAAGCTGCTGAAATGCCCTGTCTGCTTCTGGTGTCCATGCGAACCCGCCCTTCTTCAACAGATTAGTCAAGGGCAGGGCGATCATAGTGTTGCCCTACACAAACTTCGGGTAATAACCGGTCAAACCCAGGAATCCCCTCAGCTGTGAGACACTAGTCGGGGTTGGCCACTCGACCATAGCCTGAATCTTCGATTGATCCACCTGGACCCCCTGTCGAGTGACAATGTGGCCCAAGTACTCCACCTTCTGAACCCCAAACGCACACTTCGATGCTTTGAGGTAATACTGATGTTGCCTCAATATCTCGAATACCGCCTGCAAATGCTGCAAATGCATCTCCCAAGAGAGACTGTAGACTAGAATATCATAAAAAAAATACCAGCACATACCGTCTCAGCAGCGGCCGGAATATGTCATTCATCGCCGCCTGAAAAGTCGAGGGAGCATTGCACAAGCCGAAGGGCATGACCAAGTACTTATAATGGCCATTATGCGGCCGGAAAGCGGTCTTGTGCGCATCTTCCTCCGTCATCCGAATCTGGTGGTACCCATCTCGCAGATCGAGCTTGGTGAAGTATGTCGACCCATGTAGCTCGTCCAACATATCATCCATCGTCGGGATCGGAAAGCGATCCTTCACTGTCGCGGCATTTAGCCCCCGATAATCAGTACAGAAGCGCCAAGTCTCATCCTTCTTCTTAACCAGTAGCACCGACGAGGAGAAAGGGCTGGTGCTCGGCCGAATCAATCCGGTCTCTAGCATTTCCTCCACCTGTCTCTCAATCTCCTCCTTATGGGAATGGCCATATCAATATGGGCGGACGTTCACAGCTTCCACCCCTTCCTTGAGCTAAAAGTGATGATCGACCTGCCGATGTGGCGACAATGTGGTCGGTGTCTGAAAGAGCTCCAGAAAACCAGCCAGTACCCGCTGAAGATCGTGAGCTAGCTCCTGGTCCTCCGATGATGCCACCGACCAGCACTTAACCGCCAACTCCACTTCTTTCCCGGTTATGCACTCCAGGAAAGAAACCGGTCCCCGGGCCGTGGTCAGCCCCTGCAAACACCACTCTTTGTCTCGCCATTTGAACCGCATCGTTAAGCTACGCTAATCAGTGGTGACTGGTCCCAGTCCCTGCAGCCATGGAACACCCAAAATCATGTCAAACCCACGAATGGGCAGCACAAACACATCCGCGGTGACAGTCAACCCTTGAATCTCGAATGACAGCTCCCGATAGACAGTCTTGCACTGCATAGGTGTTCCATTAGCTACTCGAACCACCATCGGGTCCACCAAGCTCGGCGTCTGTGGAAAAAGCTTGGCAAGTTCCTCGCTAACAAAATTCAGGGTGGCACCACTGTCCACCTAGGTCAAAGCCAAGGTACCGGCAACCTGAGCTCGGAATCGGAGAGTTCCGGGTGTCGGCAGCCCGGACACAGCATGAAGAGAGAGCGAGGGGGTCGCCCCCTTGCCTGCCGATTGCGTGGTCGCCGCTCCGCCCCCCGACGCGCGCGGCGTCTCTCGGCTCTCGGCCGCCTTCTCCGCTTGCGACGAGCTCCACCACTGTCCCACCTCGGCGACCGAGTCGTCCTGCACGCTCCCCGCAGCAGCGCCCTTGGCGCGGCAGCCCCACGCCCGCTCGCTTGCCCGCCGCCGTCGGCGCTCCCAGCCCGCTGGCCGCCCCTGTTGGCGGCGCCGCCGACCGCCCCACCGTCGCCGCCGCCACAGCCGCCGTGTCTCTACCATGCGCGCACGCGACGCGGGCTTGGTCAGCCCTGATGGCGTCAATCTGTTGCTGCACACTGGTCCAGTCCAGATCAGAGAGCCTTATCGAGCTCAACCAGGCTCTGATACCAATTGATAGAGAAGAGTAGGGTTGGGAATTGAGAAGAATTGGGGGAAAAGAGTTAGGGATTTGAGAGAATTGGGGAAGAACAGAGAATAGAGAAAATTAGGGATTATGATAATATTCTTGCTTAATCCCAAATGAACATACTCCCTCCTCTTTTATGAGTTTCAGCACTAATAGAGAAAATAACAAAAATGCCACTCCTAACCGGCCAACATGGCCAACCCGACCCACTCTACCCGCCGAGCGGGTTTCTATCACGCTGCAATTGAAACAGAGCACGAAACAAACTCCATTGCAGGCCTCACAAGGTTCAGCTGATCTATCAACTGGTGGAAACCCTTCAAAGAGCACCCTGAACTTCCCCTGTTCATTCAAACCCAAAACTTCTTCAGCTCCGCCAATGTACCTTCCCTTGACGAAAAGTCTCGGTGGCATGAATTTTCCTTCCAGGACCTCCCAGAGCTCTTCCCTGTAATCTTTGTGCATCGATACGTCCCTCTCGTGGTATCCGATTCGAAGGCTCTGTAAAAGAAAGAAACCTGACTCCATTGCAGTCCTCGAACGTCTTCCTTATCCCTCTTAGTGTCGTTGAGTAGAAATCACTCTATCGATCCCCCCCCCCCCCCCCGCGCGGAGGGCATCTCTCTTCGAAATCCAGTTGTTCTTCAATTTCGTCCTCAATTACGCTGGATTTCAGAGGATGCTCTGGTTCACTTTCTCTTTGCTATGTTGCTCTGTTTCAGACTACTTGCTTGCTCTGTTCCGCTGCCTTCCCTGCTTCTTCGAAGCCGATCCTCTTCTAAGCTAGCGATTGTCTCTCTTCTTTCTTCCTCAATCCGGTCCATAAACTCCTTCGCCGCGATCTTGAACGCGGCCAACAGGTTTGGGTTGAAGAGGGTGTTGGAATTCATGTCCGGCCGACGGAAAGACGAGATGTCAATCTCTAACAACGGCATTTTCTTGAATGACCCCAAAGTTTCTTCATTTTCGTCACAAATCCCCCCTTCTTCGATGCCGCCCCTACCAGAAGCTTCTTTCAATTGGCCGCCGGGAAACAGAGCTATAACCTGCGGCCGCCCCAAATTCTCTTTATCTTCAACGAAATAATCACCCGAATCATCAAGTTTTATCCCATCTTTATAATCTGTCTCTCGAACTCCGATCCAGCCCTCCTTGGTGGTGGTCGGCAGAGTGTCACTCGGAGGTTCGACCCACTGATTCTCTAAAACTGATTGGAACTCATCTCTTGATATCCGCTGAAGAACGCGGTCAGGCTGCTTGAGATACACAACTAGTTTAATGGATTGTGCTTCTTCAGGAGTTTCCCTCTCACTCCATTCATTCTGAAGGAGCTTTTATCCCGAGTTTCAAATTAAAGAGATTTGGACGCAACACGATGACTTTTCCCCCTTCCTTAGAGAGAGAGAGAGAGAGAGACAGAGGATTTTCGAGTGCAACGGCTATAAAGCTTTATCATTCCTTTTGTTTTTCATTCCCTCGCTCGCTGAAGAAAACAACTATAAAGCTGTTAAGAAATAAAAAAAGGTTAATTGCATGGTTGGTCACTGGGTTTACTAAAAACGTTCACGTTTGATGATTAAAAATATTTAATTTCATTCGTGGCCACTAAAATTAGTGAAAAGTTTCAAATTTGGTCACTCTCCGTCCAATTCCGTTAATTTTGTCTGACATGGCAATCAACTCTGAAAGTTGACAGTTAATTGAGTGACGTGGCAATTAAAAATAATAAAAAAAATAAAATTTAATCTCTTACAATTTCCAACTCATTTTCACAATATAATAAAATAAATAAAACACAAAAATTATTACAATTAGAAATTTATGCTTCCCTGCCGGCGAAATACTCCCAAAACCAAGTCGATTGTTGGTGGAAATTCTTCCCGCCGGTGAAGCCATTCTTACGGGGGGACATAGCTCACTAACGTTTCTCGTTGGGGCAAGTGTGCTTATTGGTGAAGAACATTCCACATTCCGTCGACGATATCTGCCCTGGGAGATCCAAAATAGAGTTGTGACGGACATCCAAAACCCTTTTCTTGATGAGATCCTAGCACTCGTCCCCCTAGGTAAGTGGAAGAAACCGACAGATTGGCGAGCTTCGACAGCTAGCAAACGCTCTCCGGAATGGCGTCGTACAATTGGTTCCTCGCCAAATTTTTATGTCTCGAATCTCCGACAAGCACAAGGAGTGGGGGATTGGACCGGTGAGCCTGTTATCTCGGGCGTCGAATATCCTGGTCGGGGTCCGGTTCCCGATCTCCCACGGCAAGCAGCCGGAGAACTGATTGTTGAGGAATTGATTATAGTTGCAGATGTCATTTCCTTACCAGGAATCGGTAATGCGGCGGATCACATTTTATTTTGCTTTTGAATCTCTGTATTGATTTAAAGGCCTTGACGATTCTCGCATTCTCAAATCTGCCGTCTGGCGTGACGACGGCGGAGGAGGAGAGGGTGTAGGAGTTGACGGAGGTAGAGAGTGTTTGGGAGGTGGCGGCTGGCTTGGTCTCGAATTCGGAGGCGGGAGAGGATGCTCTGGCAGAGGAGGATAATGTAAATTAGAAGGTGGGAGGCAAATTGATCTCTAATGTGCCTCTGATGGGTATGGCTGCTCGCCTGCTCCTGTGACTGGAGAATGCGAGTGGAAGTGGAGAGCAATGAAAGAGAAGAGAGAGTGAACCGGCGACCATCTCTCCGCCTTTGTTATTCATTTTGTTCTCTCAGATTCATTAGCTTCCAGAATGGCGACGGCGGAGGAGCTCGGTGATAGGGCGGGCGAGGTTTCGGGAGTATTTCTCCGTGGAAGGATTAAATCTCTAATTATAATATTTTTCTGTTTTATTTATTTTTATTTTATTGTGAAAATAAGTTGGAAATTGTAAAAGAAAAAATTTTATTTTCTTTATTATTTTTTAATTTCCACGTCACCTAGTTAACGGTCAACTTTGAGAGTTGATTGCCAAACCAGACTAAGTTAACGGAATTGGACGGTTCTTGGTCCTAATAAATTTTACAATTATTGAAGAAATTATAGACCGAACTGATATTTGGATTAGACCAAATGGACCGAATATACTAGTGATCCAGTCCTTGATTCTAAGATGTTTTTCACTAATTAACCACGATTCTCGTAAGTTTGGTTCAAGTAATTAATTTTAGTGGCAAACGTGAACTTTTTAAATAATTCTAACGAAACTTGACATTTACCCATTTCATTCAAACTCGAAACCTCAATTCGATATAGGTGAAATGAAACTTATAACCCTATTGTATATTATCTTGTTATTATCGGATAGAATTCTCCCAAATCAAAAAATAGTTGATCAGGTGAATAATCATCATATCTCCTTCTTCTCTCTTTTGCTCACTCCCAACTTTTATGTTAAGAAAATGTTTAACTTAGTAATGCTTTTTTTTGTTGTTGCAAAAAGACTGATGTAAATTGCATCCCAAGCTTAAATGAGAGCATTTCTACTATGCTATATAGTATTGGTGCTTAATGTATAACTTAAAGTTGTACCATAACATGAAATGTATAAGTTTAGATTGTACCATAAAAGAATTTTTACCACTATGTTATGGAACAACTTTACAACTTGAAGTTGTACCATCACATAAAGGTACAAGTTCAAGTTGTATCATAAAAGAATTTGTACAAACAGTATAATGTATAATCTAAAATTGTACCATAACATTAAAGGTACAATCTTAAGTTGTACCATAAGGGCAAAACCTATAGCACAAATACTATATAGTATTGTAAAATTTCTCTAAATAAGAATATTCCGCTCTTGGCAAAAACAAAGTCCTGAATCGCTCACATCGAAAAGATGTGTGCCAAAATTAACATCGTGCCCTTTAGACACCAAGAAATCGACGGCAGAGTTAGACTCTCTATAGATATGACTAACTCTAACAATCATGTTCCTCCTAAGAAGCTCTCCTAGCTGGTGAGCGATGAGGCCATGACTGTGATATGTAGAAGCGCAATTTTTTATGATAACAATGGCGGTTGTGGAGTCCAATTTCAGTTGAACTTTTATGTGTCCTCTTTGCCATGCAATTTTCAGACCTTCAACTGCACCCTTCAATCCAGCCCTTGTAATAGAACATGTGCCTAGATTTGAAGTAAAAGCAATCGTACATCTCCCCAAATGGTCGTGAAGTAAGCCCCCTGCTGCTATCGTACCATCAGCTGCACTCCAACTTCCATCGCTTTGCACTTGGATCCATAAGGGGCAGTTGTTCTAGGTCGTTAATCCTCTCTTGGTTCTTTCCTTGTTGGTTAGGAGACGATTGTGGGTGACAAGCCACAAGAAGCGCTTGATCCTACTAGGCCATTTCCATCTCCATATCCCTTTCCAACTATCTCTATCTTCATTAGGGTCTGCCAAGATACCTGGGGCAAGCAAATAGGCAGACTATGGTCAACATTGGGCGTCTTTTTCCAATCCCCAAAGTGATCTATCTTCTCCTGACCCTGCAGGTGGTGGTTAAGCTCCTGCAATCAGTGTCAGGAAATCCTCCGGTAAGAGATCACATAGGCGGTTCCAATCCCACTCCCCTGAATCCGTCACCCAATCTGTAACAGCCAAAGCTCTTTCTTCCTCGGTAATCTCCTTCGTGAGAAAATCGCCAAGAATCAACTTGCAATCCAGCCAACGATGTATCCAGAATCCTGTTGTAGTGCCATTTCTTATGCTCCAAATGATCGCTGACTTCATCAAAGGCAAGGCTTTCAGGACAACTTTCCAAAGAGGAGAGTGGTTTGTTTTCTTCATGGACATGATTTCTCCATTATTGTACATAGTGGTTTGTAGTACCTGCACCCAAAGAGAGCTCTCATTATTGAACAAATGCCATGCAATTTTGATCATATAGGCCATATTAATCTCACGAACAGATCTAAGACCCAAGTCACCCTTGTTTTTAGGTTTACAGATAGTATCCCAAGTCACTAGGTGAACTTTCCACTTTCCCCCCTGTGAACCCCAAACAACCCATCTAATTCTTCTATCAATTTCATTGCAAACCGACATAGGGAGACAAGAATTTTGCATCACATATGAGGGAATCACATTCAAAACAGATTGGCTAAAGTCACCCTTCGTGCAAGGGAAAGGGTGTTAGCTTTCCAGGCTGATAACTTGTTCGCAATTTTCTCCAAAATGTATCTTTACGTATTTCGGTTAATCATACCATGCAAAACAGGCACACCAAGATATCTACCCAAATATGTGGTGGACTGGATCGTTAACCTAATACATGTGCTAGTTCTAGTTTCTTTACTCGTGTTTTTAGAAAAGAAGACACGAGATTTCTCTTTACTGATGAGCTCCCCCTAGGACTCACATAATCTATCCAAACATTCAATCACAAACTCCACCTGCTTGGGGTTCGCATCAAAAAAGAGAACAAGGTCATCAGCGAAAAAGATGGGAAAGGGGAGGGTCATTCATAGATAACTTCATCAGTTTCCACTTCCCCTCTCTCATATAACAATCAATAGTGTGTCTAACTTAGTAATG